GTATTCTGGTATTGGATATGCTGGACTACTTCGTCAGCATTTTGGTTTCTGTTAACTAACCTTACCTCTGGGGTTATTACCCTAGGTTCCTCGACAGGTTGCTCCAATCGTGCCCTAAGGTTTTCTTCGACAGGCTGTTGAGCCTGGTTGATGGTGGTTTCTTCCTCTAAGAACATCCCCTGGTTTCCCCTTATTTGCGCCCTTTGGGGCTGTCGAACAGGTTTGGGTACTCCAAAGAAATCAGTCAAACGCGTCATTTGCGCTGTCACTTGCTGATTCGATTGAGTAGTGTTTTATATTAGAGGGTTTAGCACTGTACTCAAAGTTTGTGCCAACATTTGCACCATATCATGGTTGCTTTCGTCCATTTGTTGCCTCAAGACTGCTGTCGAGGCATTTGTAAGGCCATGGGCTACTTGAGACGTTCCTCCTAAGAGTTGGGTCCTATTTCTATTCGCCATGCCTACTCCAGAACCTTGGAGTGGCGAAGAGGCACTCACTAAAGGGTCTGAAAAAGTGGACGCAGCATTCGTCAGGCTAGCCAATTCAGAAGTTGGCATACCATAGAGTGGCATAAATCCTGGTGGCGCAAAAGGCCTTGTGCCTAAATTTCCCCTTGGTGGGGGAGTTCCCAAAGGCATCCTGGGGCCCGTGAACGAGAGTAATGGCCCCGTTGCTGTGACCGTTACTGCTGGTGTCGAACCAACAGTTGTCGCTTCACTTACGGTCGTACTAACCGTTGCTCCCACATTCGTTTGTGGGATTTCGTTATTGTTTGGCGGATTCGCCATCTCTTCCCTTCTTCTGGCAGTATTGTTATCGTTAGTGTATATTCTACCACTTCTCAATAACATACAACACTCCTCGAAAAGATGAGATTATTTTCAACAATCAACACACGGTCCCACCGGGTGTGCCAATTTGTTTACCTTGGTATTTGGTAAACAACCGCTGATCCTCCAAATGGTTACTTATTTGGTTACTCGCAGGATCGATCAGATTGATCCTAGGACATAGGTTGATTTTGAAGTTTTGATTAAATTGGATATTAGTTAAATGACAATAAAATGAAGAGGCTTTAAATAAATTGCATGAAGAAAGGACTTGGTAAAATAAATAAGGCTTTAAATGAAAGGGTTCGACAGGAAAGTAAAGAAGAAAGCAAATAAATTTCTGGGAAAGTAAATGACTTTGATTAATAAAGTTGGTGTTTCACACATACATTTCTCAACAATTCTTTCTCACACGCTGGGTACTCGAATCTATATGAGTGACTTTGTATAGAATTGTGAACACACGCGAGAAACTACATGACTACTATTATTTATACTAAAACATCTCAAGTAACCGTCGGGCAGTTACACTGCTTCGAGATGATTCCACTTAGCACGTTCTCAACGTTCGACGCTCCAGATCTTTGCACGTTGCACTTGGTAACCGCTGGAAACCGTTTTCCCTCCAAACGCTTGAATTTCAAACTGCTCCATTCTGAACCATCGAACATCTTCGTCGAGAAACATCTTCGACCAGAAACTCCTTCGACGTCGAAGGCAACCAACTTCTCCCTTGGAAGAAATCTTTTAAGTACCTTGCCATCTTTCAATGGGCATTTCGACGGACCTAGCTAGTTGAAAACATCCTTCAGCTTTAATGGCTGACATTAATAAAACAAGGGTGTCGAATTTAGGAGCCAACACACACCAATCAGAATAACTTAGAAATTCTGATTCGATCTTTCTTTCAGAGGGAAATAACACTCCATATTTCAGAGTTCCCTTCACATACCTTAGAATCCTGACTGCAACTTGGTAATGAGACCACTTTGGTTTTCTCATAAATCTGATAACCATTCTAACTGCATAGCAAATATCAGGTTTGGTATTACACAAATACCTCAGAGAACCAACTATTTGTTTGAAGGTTGTAGCATCCACATCCTTTCCATCAGAATCAGAGTCCAACTTCTGATTCGTATCAGCAGGTGTGATAGTAACTTTGAAATTCTCTAGCTCAAATCTCTTCAGAAGACCTAGTTCATACTTCATCTAATGAAAAATGATTCCTTTCTTAGAGTACATAAATTCCATCCCTAGAGAGAAATTCATTTTTCCAAGGTCTGTCATCTTAAATGCATTCATCAGAACTTTCTTGAACTCAACTATCTCTTGTTCAGAACTTCCTGTGAGTAATATGTCATCAACATACAAACAGACCAGAATCATATTACCTTCTGAATTATACTGAACATAAACACCATACTCCATCTCACACTTCTGAAACCCTTATTCCTTGAAAAATGAATCAATCTTCAAATTCCAAGCTTTGGGTGCTTGCTTCAAAACATACAAGGCTTTGTGTAATTTGAACAACATCCCTTCCTGATTCTTTTTCTCAAATCCAGAAGGTTGTGATACGTATACCTCTTGTTGCAACAGACCATTCAGAAATGCAGATTTTACATCTAAATGCATCAGAGGCCAATTCCTGTTAGCAGCTATTACAATCACTAGTCTGATTGTTTCATGTTTCGCTACAGGTGCAAACACTTCAAAGTAATCCGGCCCAGACTTCTGTAGAAAGCCTCCTTCTACTAATCTTGATTTGTGTTTGCCAATTGATCCATCTGGCTTTAGCTTCTGCTTGAAAACCCATCTGACACTGATCGATTTCTTGCCTTTTGGAAGTTCTGTCAGCTTCCAAGTCTTGTTTCTCTTTATAGCATCAAGTTCTTCTTTCATGGCCTATAACCAAACTTGCTGCTTAAGAGCCTCTTCTGTACTCACGGGTTCAGATTCTACTAACATTGCACATTGAGTAACTTCTCCTTCAGAGTCTACTTTAGTGTCTTGCAACATGTCAAACTCTGCAAATCTTCTTGGGATGCTTCTGACTCTATGTGGCCTCTGAATTTGTTCAGAATCTCCTTTTGATTCTGAAATGATATCTCCTTCTGGACTTTCTTCAGAAGTTTGACTACCACCATAAGCTCCATCTTTGTTAGCTTCTGGACCTCGTTCAGAACCACTTTCAGAATCATGATCGTCGTCAAAGACTAGATTTCCTTAAGAAACTCCTCCTTCAGAAGGTCCATCCTTAGAGTCATGATTTCCACCAGAAACCTGATCATCTTTATAAGCTTGTCCTCTAGAACCTACGTCTTTAGATTTTTCCCTTCTAGAAGCATGATCACCACCAGATTCTGGATCATCAACAAAATCTGGATCAGAATCAGATTCACCAACTGACTCACCTTCAGAGTTTCCAAAGTCATCATCTTCTGACTCTTCTTCAGAATCAGGATCTTCTTTGGATTCTGACTTTTCTTCAAAATCTTCAGCGTCATCTTCTGATTCAGACTCATATTCAAACACTCCTTCAGAGTCATAATATTCAGAGTCATCTTCTTCTCCTTCATAATCATAAAATGACAATTTCATCGGTTCCTCATCAGATTCATAAGCCATAAATGGCACAGGTTTATCATTTGAATCTCCTCTGGCTATATTTGCTTCTTCTGACTTCATTTCTTTGTTTGACCAGCAATCTTTGGCATAGTGACCAAAGTTCTTACAACAACATTGAACATTCTTCTTGTCAGACTTCTCCTTTCCCTTCTGGACATTCTTCTTCCTATCAGAGTTTGAAGCTTCTGACCTTTGAACACCCTTAGTTTTCTTCCTGGCTTCTGACCAAGTCTGCTTCTGATACTTCTTACCAGAAGTTACTTTCAGAGCCTGCTGCTCTACTTCCCTCTCAGAATTTCTCGCAGTCATACGCAACTCATGTGCCTCTAGACTACTTTGCAGCTCTTCAACTCTCATGGTGCTCAGATCTTTGGAATATTCAATTGCTACCACAATGTAATCAAACTGAGAAGTTAAAGATCTCAAGATCTTTTCATTGATTGTTTGTTCAGAAAGAGTTTCTCCACAAGCTTTCATCTCATTAGTGATCAGAATCACTCTAGAGATGTACTCAGAAACCTTCTCGTTGTCATTCATGTTGAGATTCTCATATTGCTTTCTGAGAGACTGAAGCTTCACCTTCTTCACTGATGCGTCACCACCGTAACATCTGACCAGTGTGTCCCATGCAGCCTTCGCTGTTTCAGAATCAACAATATTCTCAAATACATTCGCATCCACACATTGATAGATGTAGAACAACGTCTTCTGATCTTTCTTCCCCAGCGCCTTTTGTGTCTCTATTGCGTCTGCTTCTAACAGATTATAGTCATCAGTGACAAGATCTAACACATCTTGAGAACCAAATAACACGCGCATCTGGATCTTCCAACAATTCCAGTTTTTGCTACCAAATATTGGAAGCTTGGAATGGATATCGCAGCCGTTTCCGTTCATCTTCTACCTTGTGCAATTTACGTAGAAACTCAATAAAAATAATGTTTCCCAAATTCTAGAGTTTCTAACCAGGAGCTATAGATACCAATTGTTGGTGCACAAGGAAGAGATAAAAGACAAAAGAAATATATTTACTGACAGTTTCAAAATAATGATTTACAATGAATTACAATAACCTACTCCACTAGACTATTTACACAAAATTAAATATATCTTCTAACAAAGATACAAGAAGATCTAAGATATATATTTTCTAATAAAGATATAAACAATCTAAAAGATATTTCTAAATATAAATTAATATATAATTAATTATAAAATCTAAATTAATTCTAACAAAAATAAAATTCGTTTGACTCATACGGTAGGTATCATTGTTCCATACTAGAACTAAAATTATAATTGATTGATGACAATGCACTGTTGATGCAATGATGCTAAATATCTGAGACAATAACGGATTTACAAGATTAGCAGTATAAGACCAAAATTACTTACAAAATGTATTAGATTAGAAAAATATACTCCTTACATTTAAAGTATCACGTGTGCCCATAACTATGATGGAATAATTATGAGTTTTATGACAAAGAACAAAAGCGTTCTGTTTTTCTTGAGTCCTTGTTATCTTCAAAAGCGATGCACCGATCGTTTACAGTGTTATCAAAAAACCTAAGAACCATTGCTTCAAATGGCTTATTCACATCATCTTCTTCATCAGTACAACACCAATTCCATTCCTCCAACAACAACAACCACGAGTCTTCATCTTCCCCAATTGGCTCTCCAACCAGAGTCCAGAAACTCATCGCTTCCCAATCAGACCCTCTTCTCGCCAAAGAAATCTTCGATTACGCTTCTCTCCAACCCAACTTCTGCCACAATTACTCCACCTACCTCATCCTCATCCTCAAATTCGGTCGCTCCAAACACTTCTCCCTCCTCGAAAACCTCCTCCGTCAACTCAAATCCGATTCCCAACCCATCACCCCTACCCTCTTCTCTTACCTAATCAAAATCTACGGCGAAGCTAATTTACCCGACAAAGCCCTCAACACTTTCTACACCATGCTTCAATTCAATATCAAACCTTTAACCAAACACCTTAACCGCATTCTTCAAATTCTCGTTTCTCGCCGGACTTTCCTTCGCCCCGCTTTCGATCTCTTTAAGGATGCTCATCGACATGGTGTGCTTCCTGATACTAGATCTTATAATATTCTCATGCGGGCTTTTTGTTTTAATGGTGATATCAGTATTGCATACATGCTGTTTAACAAAATGTTTAAGAGAGATGTTGTTCCTGATGTTGAGTCTTATAGGATTTTGATGCAGGCTTTGTGTAGGAAGAGTCAAGTTAATGGAGCTGTTGATCTTTTCGAGGATATGTTGAATAAAGGGTTTGTTCCTGATTCTTTGACTTATACTACTTTGTTGAATAGTTTGTGTAGGAAGAAGAAGCTTAGGGAGGCTTATAAGCTTCTTTGTAGGATGAAGGTCAAAGGGTGTAATCCTGATATTGTTCATTATAATACGGTTATATTAGGGTTTTGTAGAGAAGGGCGAGCTCATGATGCTTGTAAGGTTATCGATGATATGCGGGCTAATGGGTGTCTGCCGAATTTGGTTTCTTATAGGACTTTGGTTAATGGTTTGTGTCATTTGGGAATGCTTGATGAGGCAAGGGAGTATGTGGAGGAAATGCTTTGTAAAGGCTTTTCTCCACACTTTGCTGTCATCCATGCTTTGGTGAATGGGTTTTGCAATGTTGGTAGGATTGAGGAAGCCTGTGGAGTTCTCTCGAAATCGCTAGAGCATGGGGATGCTCCTCATAAGGATAGTTGGATGATTGTAGTACCTCAAATATGTGAAGTGGAGGAGGATGGTGTGAAAATTGGTGCTGTTTTGGAGGAAGTTCTTAAGATTGAAATTAAAGGTAATACTAGAATTGTGGATGCTGGCATTGGTTTGGAAGACTACTTGATTAGGAAAATACGGGCTAAGGCGAGGCAATTTTAAACATTTTTGTTTTATAAAACCGACAGGCTTGTGTTTGTCATCCATGTAAGATAGTTGTATTCAGTTACATGTGAGAATATCATTTGATTCTTACCAGAAAAACACTACTATATGTATGACATGTTGCAACATTTTATCTGTAACATTTAAGAAAATGTTGCAGACACTCCTTATTTGACACTTTCAGTAACACCGGGAAAATCAAATGTTACTACATACCAATGAAAATACATTCTTCTTAATCTCTTAGTATGTAATAGTTTCTTTTTCCCTCAGTTTCTTTTTTATATTTTCACTTACACATTGTTCGTTTGCTACTCTCGTTCATCCGCACAATTCTCCACGTTGTTCATCCCATGGTTCTTCATTTGTCTCTCAAATCTTTGTAATGTGTTTCATCTTCATCCATGCTTGTTCATGGTGTTTGACCTTTGGATATTTATGAAATTTTGTTTCATTGAGGTATTATATTTCTTACTTTTCTTACTGCTCAAAGGTAGCTTTTGGAATCAGAGCATTTGTTTTGTTCTCTTTTCTCTTGGGTTGATAGATTTTGTGCATTAGATTTGATTTTGAGATTTGAAGAGAAACAACCAGTGATGAAACAGCGGCAAAAATGTAACTATGGACAACATTTTAGATTTACCTCTAGGTTAATGTACTTTACCAAATTAGTAACTGAGATTTTTTTGATTTTTTAATTGTTTCATTCCCATTGTTTAAATGCTTTTGATTTTTTTTGTCAAAATGCTTTTGATTTTTTTTGTCAAAATGCTTTGGATTTTTTGTTTATTGACCGATGGTTGCTATTAGGGTTGTTTTCGGTCCAGTCCGGTGCTCTCTCGAGGATTGGACGGAACTCGAATCGGGTAGACTGGGACCGGACCATAACAATATTGGTTTTTTTTGCATCGAAATCAGTCAGGTACATTCGGGTAAACCGGAACCGGACCAAATTTAACGAATTTGTATACTGAGACCAGTCCGATGAGTTTCTGACGGGTAACCGGACCACCCGAAATACAAGAACAAAAATGAAATTTCAGAAATTATAACATAAAATTGAAACTCAAATTCTAATATGATACTATCATCATTTTGCTAAATAATAATGTATAATTTTGCTACCCAGTTCACATTGTATCATCATTGGACATCCAACAATCGATGTCCCCGATAGCGTACACTTCTAAGGTAGAGGATGGCTTCTGGGTGCTCGGTCGAGGAAGTATTTCCTGTATTGTCGACTTATTCCCTCCTTTCCTCTTTGTGCTTGTCGGCTTAGATAGGATATTTGTGCGGGCGTTATGCTCGTCGGAAACATGTTGCACGTCTACAGTTTTAAATTTCTTTTTCCTCTCCTGGACCAGGGCCCAATATTCAGCGAGTTGGTCTTTTTTGACCTGATATTCGCCTCGGACTTGAGACGCGACTAGTTGAGAGTCGGTGAAGATCTTCACTTCCTCGGCTCCCAGATCTTCGGCCAATTGTAATCCTGCGAGGAATGCCTTGTATTCGGCCTGATTGTTGGAGGTCGGAAAAGATAGAGCGAGGGAGACATCGATTAGGGTCCTTTCTTCGTTTTCTAATATGATGCTCGCGTCGCTTCTTGTTGAACCGGAGGCACAGTCGACGAAGATCGTCCAGCGGCGTGATCCGTCGGGATCTACGGACAAGGTCATTTCAGCTACGAAGTCGGCCAAGGTCTGAGCCTTAAGGGCTTTCCTGCTCTCGTATTGGATATCAAATTCAAAGAGCTCTAAGGACCATTTCAACATTCTTCCGGTCATGTCTGGTATTCCGAGCAGCTGCTTTATTGGTTGATCCGTTCAGACGACTATGCCAGGAAGTAGTGTTTAAGCCTCCTCATTGTGTTAACGAGGGCTAGAGCTACTTTTTCAATTTGTTGATATCTCGCCCCCGCGCCTTGCAGGGCCATGCTCGTGAAATAAATTGGTCTTTGTCCCTCTGGAGTTTCTCTAATCAGTGTTGCGCTTATCGCCTCGGAGGCGACGACCAGATAGAGATAGAGGACCTCGTCTTTCTCGGGTCGAGAACGGACGGGTGGTTGTGATAGCGCTCGTTTTAAGTGAATGAGGGCTTGCTTGCATTTGGGAGTCCACTCGAAGGCAGCTTCCTTGCGGAGGAGTTTGAATAAGGGAAGCACGTGCTGGACGGATTTTGCCACGAATCGAGAGAGAGAAGTGAGCATGCTGTTTAGGATTTGGATGGACTTTTTCAAGGTGGGCGTCGGAAATTCAGAAAACTCTCGACATTTATCAGAGTTTGCTTCAATGCCTCGTTCTGTTAGGTAGAATCCGAGGAACTTTCCTTCCCGTACGTCAAAGGTACATTTTTCCGGGTTGAATCACATTCGGCACTTTCGAGCCTGCTCGAACACTTTCTTTAAGTGGGCGGCATGGTTGAGCTCTTCTGTGGACTTGACGATCATGCCGTCCATATAGACTTCAATCATGTCACCTATCTCGTTGCGAAAAACTTTGTTCATCATGCACTGATATATAGCGCCCGCGTTTTTTAGGCCGAAGAACATTACGTTGTAGTAATAGTTGCCCGATTCGGTCATGAAAGCGGTGTATTTTTTGTCTGTTTTCGCCATAGGGATCTGGTTATAACCAGAGTATGCATCCATAAATGATAGCAATTTGAAATCGGTCAAGTTGTTGACCAGTTAGTCAATATTGGGGAGGGGATAAGTATCTTTTGGGCAATCCCGATTAAGATTAGTATAATCAATACACATGCGCTATTTTCTATTAGATTTTTTCACAAGAACTACATTTGAGAGCCAGGTTGTGTACTGGGCTTCAGAAATAAAATGTTCCTCTAGGAGGTCTTTTACAACTAGTTCTGCAGTCTTCGCTTTCTCGGAAGACTATTTTCTTCTACGCTGGGAGACCGCCTTGAGGGCAGGATCTATAGACAAGTGATGGCACGCAACTTCTAAATCTAATATGGGCATCTCGGCCGCACTCTAGACGAATAGGTCAGCATTTTCCCTCATGCAAGCTTTGAGTTTCCTTTTTGCCAAGTCGGGGAGGTCTGCTCCAATCTTCACTCCTCTGGTGGGATCTTCTCTGAGGGGAACAAGCTCGAAGTCGCTGTCCAGGATTGGATGTGCGTAACTTGAGAGTTCATCGCGATCAGCAGAGGGGGTCAAACCTTCGCCTTTGACCATGGGCTCATTTCCCTTCCTTCTTTGCTCGACACAATCTTTCTTGGAGAAGCGGTTGTCGAGGTCAATGGTATCGACCCTCGGCAGTGGCTTGACTTCCTCGGAATTGGAGGGCAGTGTGGCTTTGGTGTCCGTTCGAGGTTGAACGTTGATGGAACTGAGGCCCTTGACTGAAGCTTCAAAACACCTTCTTGCTGCTTGGATGTCCTCGTGGAGGGTGGCGACCAAGCCTTCAACGGTGTAGTACTTCATTTTGAGATGCACAGTGGAGTGGATCGCGATGAGTTCGGCGAGAGTGGGTCTCTCAAAGATGCACTGGTAGAGAGACGGGCAATCCACCACCAGGAATTGGGTCTTGATGGCTCTGGCTGTTACCCCTCTCTCGAAGGTGACGATCAACTCAACATATCCCCAGGGTTTCGTGTTGGCCCCATTGAAGCCATGGAGATTTGATCCTACGTACGGGGTCAGATGGATTTCATTCAGCTGCAAGGTGGTGAACAATTGGGTGTACATGATGTCTATCGAGCTGCCTTGATCGACTAGTATGCGTCGCACATCGAAATTCTCCATGGGAGCTGTCACGAGCAGTGGGATGGTCGAATTCGGGGCTCCTCCTGACAGTTCTTCCCTGTAGAAGGCGAGGAGATGAGAGCCTCCTCGTAATTTGTCCAGTGTTACGTCCATGTCCGAGTTAGCTTCGATGAGCTGGTCAAATCTTCTTTTTACTGAGCCAACCGTGTGCCTGTTGAATCCCCCGCCGGAGATGACCATGGCTGTGGGGAAAGATTCCCAAGGACTGTGGGAGGAGAAGTACGGGAGGACGTTCTCCATGTTCGGGTAGTAGAAATATTTCGGCTGCGAGATGCTCATGGCAACCGAAATGGCATCGATATCGGGGGACTTCTTCCCTTCTTCGATGTTTTTAGTTTCACGTGCTTCTCCGTTAGTGCCCTCATTCTTTTTGTATTGTTTGAGGTGCCCATCTCGAATTAATATTTTGATTGCATCCTTGAGATGAATGCAATCCTCGGTGTTATGCCTGTGACTTTTGTGGAACCTACAATATTTACTCTTGTCGGTTCTTGGTTTGGACGGTGTTTGTCGGGGAAAGCGCACCCCGATCTGCTTAAATTCAGAATTAGCGCATTCATATAGAATACACTCCCTTGAGGTAGTCAGAGGGGTGTAGTCGTGGAAACGACCAGCTGACCCCTTGTAGTCCTTGGAATCCCGAGATTTGTCTTCCCGTTTCTTTTCTCCCCGACGGGATATTGAGGGCTCATCATTCCTCGAGGACTTGGCACTCTCTCTGTGCCTCGATTCCCTGGCGTTGTTGGTTGTTTCCTTCTCCTCGTACTGGATGTACGCCTGGGCCTCGAGGAGGAGGGAGTCGAGCGTGGCCGGTGTCTCAATGCCCACAGTTTTGGCAAAGTCACTGCGGGGACAGAGCTCGTGCTCGAGGAGATATTTCTTCATGTTTTCGATCGTTGAGACTATGACTTCTTCCTTGTTGAAGCGTTCAATGTATGCCCGCAGAGATTCGTCTCTGCCCTGGATGATTACTTCGAGTGAAGCCTCCGACTTTGGATGTCGATGAGAGGTGGTGAAGTGCCTCGAAAATATCCTCCCGAGTTTCTTCCAAGAGGTGATGGATTCGTCCGGGAGACTCTTGTACCAAGACATTACTCCCTTCCTGAGAGTGGTTGGGAATAATTTGCATTTGGTGGCCCCTCTAACTCCTCGATAGTCGAGGAGGACGTCAATGTTCTTGATGTGCTTGTCGGGGTCCGTCGTTCCGTCG